TCCAGCACTGGGTTTCTAACCCCTCAAGGGCAGGGACCAGGTCCTAATTAGCCGTGCGTCCCCAACAGTTAGCACACCAGCTGGCCCGCAGTGGGCAGCGAGGGCATTTGTGGGACTGAACCAGTCCCTGATTTCATGTCAGAATCAGATGGGCCCGAGCAGCTTCGCGCCCCTGCCCCCCCCCCCCCAGCCCCGCTCCCCCGGACGACAAAACACTTCACTGGCGACTTTCACGCTCCATTCTGTTCAGTTCCCTAAGCCCCAACCTGCGTCTTGGTCTCTCCCCCTCCTTCATTAGCACCAGGAATGAATAACTTTCAGGTTCGAGGGGACTGCTTGGTTATTTGATCCTCCTCCAAATGATTCCAATAAGAGCTGGCCGGGCACCTACTATGTGCCAGGGAGCATGCTGGGAGCGGGGGGCACCCTCGGCCGAATGGTTGTCCCCCTCGGACAGAGGGCCTGTGTGCGAACTAAGCCGACTGACTGGACGCCTCCTATTTGCCAAGCGCCATGCCAAGTGATGGCACTGAATCTTGGCAACGCGAAGTAGGAAGCTTCTGGTCCCTGTGGACAGATGAGGAAGGGCAGGCGCAGAGATGCAGAGGGACGTGCCAAAGGTCGCAGCTCGCAAGTGCCGCAGCCGGGCCTGGGCTCGGGGCTGACGGCTCCAAGGCCCAGCTCACTGGAAAGCTCCTCTCCGTCCCCGCCCAGGATCGGGGCACCCACCCACCCACCCCGAATGCCATTTCCCCGCCTGCATCTCAGCTCTGCCCTCCAAACAAGTCCCGGAGCCACCAGAAAGCACCAGAGGTCGCACCAGAGGGAAGGCAAAGGCCGAGGTCAGGCGCTGCCTCCTGGCTCGGCTCCAAGTGCGAGAGGACGAGTCCTGCAGGGAACCCCCTGGTGAGCAGGAGAACCCCAAAACCTACCTGGGGACCAGAGAGCCACCCAGGAGAGGGCCACGTAAGCGAGGAGGTGCAGTGGGGATGGGACAACTTCCGTTTCTTCTCTCCAGACAAGGGGCAAGCGATGGGGCTTTATCCTGGGTGGGGGCGGCGGGGGGAGAGAGATTTCTCCTGCCTCCCCCCACAGCGGGACCTCCTACTGCAATGCCGGGATTGAGAATCGGGCGGCAGGAACCTGTTTTCACCTGCGTGAATGTATGTTGGGGTGGGGGTGGGGGGTGCACCCATATCCTCCCCAAAGGAGGTGTCGGGGAAAGAGCTACACGGAGCGGAAAAAGGGGTGGAAGGGCAGGCTGGAGGTGGGGAGAGGACAGCGCCCTAATGAGCAGATTTCATAAACCACCCGGAGTGAAAACAAAAACACAGACGTGCACATTGCCCAACTCCAGGGCTGTATGGAAAAGGAAAAAAAAACAATAAAAAAATCCACATCTTAATACAAAAATCCGACACGATGTGTTGTGGCACGAAAGTGTTTTTCACTGCATTTTTCATCTGTGATCTCACACAGCCTACGACGGGTACGCCCAGCGCAGCCGGTATTTGATGGTAGGTACACAAACAGGGCAAACACACACACAATTAACCAAAACAAGGGCAGCTCGTATGCAAATGGGTCCACGCCGGCACCTCCTGGCGTCAGGTGGCCTTTGGAGACGGACAGGTTGGCACCGAGAAGGGGCCCCTTTAGGTTTCTGAGGGCGAGAGAAATGGGGCAAGAACGCAGCTCAGTGGGAAGAATTCTCAGAACTTCACCAGGGGGACCCCCGAGAGCCCGCCTTTTCTGGGCGTACGCTGGTGCCCTGCTGCTGGCCGGGGACAGAGAGGGGACCCACACCCCAGAGGCCCTCCCGCCTGTCACTCACCCCGCAG